ATTATACATATTTTTGTGTGATATTTCTTTGTTAAATGGCATATAAATATATAAAATAAATATCAAAAATATAAATCTTTTTTTTTACTATGGTTGCAAATATTAAAAAAAAAATTATGAATATTTCTATATGTGACACGGCACCAAAGTTAAGTTAGGGTTTTTCAAAATTTTGACACGCCGAGCTCAAAAGTTTCGCCATCACTGGTCTAGGGGCCAGTGTGCAACTGCTCAGATAATGACTGTGGGTACAGAGACTATTAGAGGTGTGACTATGTGGAAAAGGTATCTATTCACCACCCATGTACGGCTGCCTGATTTGAGATACTGTTATGAAGGACTGTCTTGTCTAATGGCTTATGGCCACTGGCTTCTTCAATATAAACTCATTCTTACACACCCACAACCTCTCATGGCTTCTCTAAGACCTGATGTCCAAGGAGGTCCAGCCCTAGGCAGAGGTGGTCGGACCCAACAACTGCATCTAGTGGATGGAAGATAAAGGAGGAATCTGGACTCAAGATCCCAATAGTTTGTACAGTGGGCAGGGGTCGAGAAGGAACCTGCCCTGGCATAGTGGGGAAGAATTTATGGATTCAGAGCAACTCAGAGCACCAGAGCTGAGCAGTGCTCTTGCTGTCTATGACAGAAACTTACACATTTTAAATGGTGTTACACAGATTTGCAAATCACAAACACTAAGAATGATCAGATATAGAAAAGTTAGGAAAGCAAATTATTCTGTTTTTAAAAAAATATTTTTTAAAATTGGTATCAGGGAGTAATGGGGGGAGAGGGAGGGAGAGAAAGAGGAAGAGAGAGAGGAACATCAATGATGAGACAATCAGCTGCCTCTTGTATGCACCCCAATGGGGTCAAGCCCATAATCCAGGCATGTGCCCTGAACAGGAATTGAACTGTGACCTCCTGGTTCATAGGTCAACGCTCAATCACTGAGCCATGATGGCTAGGCTCATTGTATTTGTAAAGGAGAGACTGACATAAGCTTTGTGAAATATAAGACTTAGTGCTCCTCTCAGAACATAACCAGGTGAGGCTCTAAACAATAAAACCATTATATGAAGTAGAACTTTGAATTCTTAAACCATTGTTTGTCTGTGTACATCTATAAATTAAAATAAATTCGAAATAACTAAACAAAACTTATCACCTTTTCAGGCTGCCATTCTTTTTAGGCTCAGCAATTTGTCCCAAGAGAATGTAAAACCTATCATCAACATAACCGATGATTACCTATATGTTCCCACATTTCACTGGTTACAGATAATAGCTGTACTCCAGTTACTTCTACAGAAATACAATCTCTTGATAAAATATAAGAAGGAATCCAGGTGTACTAAGAATAGCCACTCACAAATACCCTTATGGCAGGAGGATATAGTCTTTTGGAAGCAGCTACGTTTGACTCAATTAAAAAAAAAAAAAGAGTGCTGTGGGGAAGCTAGTAATCATAATTCCACCTTTTTAAAAAAGATTTTTTAATTGATTTTTTAGAGCGAAGAGGAGAGGGAGAGAGAAACATCCATTGGCTGCCTCCTGCATGCCCCCTACTGGGAATGGAACCCACAATCCAGGCATGAGCCCTGACTGGGCATCGAACTGGCAACCGCTCAACCAACTGAGCAACACCAGCCAGTTAATGAAGGGATTTGGGGGGAAGGGGACAGCCAAAAGATATTAATATGCTTCATTTGTGCTTTAGAAATAAAAATGTTTAACATCACTAAATGATGAAAGTAAAATAAGTGTGGTGAAAGCATCTTTTATGATACTGCTTATCAAAAAAGTTAAATATATAAAAAACTACTTTTCCTGTAACTTAATCTTTATTTTTAAAATAAAAATTCTAAAGGTACCATCTCCTATGCTCTGCAGAAATTATCATGATTACATAAATCACTTCCTTGAAGAAAAATAACATCAAAAATCTACTTCAACCATTTTCATTAGGTATTGAATCTTAAGGGAGTGTGAAAATGCTTACACTTAAAGGAAATTTTCAGTGTAACTATACTGGCAGCACTTACTAGTTACTACATTTGTTACCTAATGCTATTAGGCATTACTATGTCAATAGAGCCTAACTCATCAATATCAAAGTAAGATTTCTTCACTTACCCTTGCATAGTGGAATTCAACTCCATAGAGTTCTAAGGTACGTGCTGTGTTCAGGTAATTAAATTCTGCTTCTGCAGGAGATAAGCCTCTGTAAAGACATCATTAGGTTAACAATTAAATCAATCACAAATATGGCCAAAGTGAAAAGGCTATTTATCTGGACATTTTTCAGCATCCTAATTAAATCTTTTACAAAACACCATGCATAACCACTCCTCTGAGTTATGTACAGTAACATCTAACTTATCTGGAGGGTACATTTTCAGTAACACAAATTATTATTTTGTACAATATTTTCTTATTTTTGAAAAATATAAGAATCATTAAGTTTTAAAAGTTCACAGCTGCTCCTTTGGCTGTTAGAAAGTCACTCATTCCCAGACATAACTTAGTGTGCTTGTATACATCTGCATTTAAATTACACAGACTGCTTCTGAAACACACAGATTCTGAGACAAACTCTTGGGCAGTGTTTCTCAGAGAATGGTGCACAGACAGGCATTGATTCATAACAAATATAGAAACTGAGACAATCAGAGTTTTATAGAATTTTTGTGGAGTAATTTCATGTCTGTTGAATCTAACAAAAAAAATGGCTTGTAATTTTTTGTCTTTATTTCTCCATTTTACTTTTCTATTAATTCATTGTTATTATATACTAGAGGCCCAATGCACGAAATTCATGCAAGAGTAGGCCTTCCTTCCCCCAGCTGCTGGCACCGGCTTCCCACCAGCACCCTGGACCTGGGCTTCTCTCTACCCGCCAGCAGGCACCCAGGACCCGGGTAGCCCCAGCTTGGTCCGGAAGGTCACCTGGAAGAACGTCCGTTCTAATTAGCATATTATGCTTTTATTATTATAGAAGATTTTAGAAGTATTGTTCCATGACAGAGTAGAGAAAAATTAGTCTTTCACAACAGATAGTAAACATCCCCTGTGATTCTTATAAACACAAGTTTTAGAACTATAATTTTAAATGCCTTTAAAAAGTGACTTACCTCTATATTATATACTAGAGGCCTGGTGCACAAAAATTTGTGCACTCGCGGGGGAGGGGGATCCCTCAGCCCGGCCTGTGCCCTCTTGCAGTCTGGGACCCCTCTGGAGATAACGACCTGCTGGCTTAGGCCTGCTCCTGGGTGGCAGAGGGCGGGCCCAATCCCTAGGTGCAGCCCCTGGTTGGGCTCAGAGCAGGGCCGATTGGGGAGTTGGGGTGCCGCCCCCTGTCATGCACAGAGCAGGGTGATCAGGAGGTTGTGATGCCACCCTCAGTCACGCTCAGGGTAGGGCCGATTGGGGGGTTGGGGCACCGTCCCCTGTCACACTCAAGGCAGGGTCGATGGGGAGGTTGCAGTGCCACCCCGTATCACGCACAGAGCAGGGCCAATCAGGGGGTTGGGGCACTGCCCCCTGTCACTCACAGAGCAGGGCCCATCAGGGGGTTGGGGCTCTGTACCCTGTCACACTCAGGGCAGGGCGGATCAGGGGGTTGGGGCGCCACCCTCTATCACCCATAGAGCAGGGCCGATCAGGGGGTTGAGGCGCTGCCACTCTGACACTCAGGGCAGGGCCGATGGGCGGGGCGGGGGTTGGGGCGCCGCACCCTGTCGCACACAGAGCCGCAGGGCGGGGGTCCCCACTGGGGTGTCTGGCCAGTCTGGGTGAGGGGCTGAGAGCTGTTTTCAGGCTGGGGGTGACTGAAGCTCCCAACCTCTCCGTTTTTTCTATTCTTTTTTTTATTCTGGGCCAGCTTTAGCTTTGAGGCTTGGCTCCAGCTCTTAGGCCTCAGCTGGTGAAAATAGGTTTCTGGCCTTTGCTTACAATGTTGCGATCCTGCTGGCTGAAGCCCGGCACTAAAGCTGGTTTCTCGGGTTTTGTTTAGTTTCTATACTTGTTACATAGTTGCTTAGAGTTGCTGCTCAGAGGCCTCCAGCAGCAGGCGGGGAACGTTGGAGTCCTCCGTCACTGAAGCAAGCAAGCCTCATGTTAGTTTCAAGCTGCCTGGCTGCTGGCCGCCATCATGGCTGGCAGTTAATTTGCATATTGTGCTGATTAGCCAATGGAAAGGGTAGCGGCCGTACACCAATTACCATGTTTCTCTTTTATTAGATAGGATACTGCTCTAACAACCTTAGTTATCTGTTGTTATCAGACTACAGCAGAGCAAGAGCAGCAAATTACAAAAACAAAGATATAAGCCTCTCATTCACTACTGATACTAAAAAACCCCAACAGCCTTCCAATTTATGATAAAAATGAGATTCCTCAAAAAAAGCAGATATATTTCAGATCGGCCTACAATTCAATTAAGCTAAATATTCTATCTTTCCCACACCATCCCCAGTTAAACTAGATGATTCTATTTTTTTCTTTGTTTAAAGAGTTGAAGAATCATTTCTTTAAACCAAACAGAAATATATAATTAATACCTTGTTAAATGTATAATCTTTTTCCTTGCGGGGGACTTTTCATTATTGATAAATTGTTTATAAATTGGGTTTATCTTCAAATCCTTGATTTGGATATGCTATGTATAGAACTTTCATTATAAATGTCATTTACTTTTAGACCAAAATAGCTCCCTTACCACATTAGGCCAGTCTTAAAATTCTCATTCAGGAGTCTTCTTTTAGATTAGGGTCCGCAAACTTTTACTGGAGAGAGCTAGCTTTCAGGCCATATGGTCTCTGTTGCAACTACTAAACACTGCTGTTATGTGAAAGCAACCACAGACAACATGTAGACGAATGAGGTAATCTGTGTTCCAGTAAGTGCTCATTTATGGACACAAATTAGGATTTCTCAATATGTCATGTGACACAAGATGTTATTATTTAAAAAATTTTTTCCCAACCATTTAAACCATACAAACCATTCTTATCCCATGGGACATAAAAAATAGGCAGTGGCCTATAGTTTGCCAATGTGTATTAAATAAATAAGGCCATTACCAAATAAAAGTTTCTTTAATAGTCAGAGCTAACTCTGACTGGTGTGACTAAGTTGGTTGGAGCATCATTCTATACACTGAAAGGTCTTGTACATCATCCCAGTCAGGGCACATACCTAGGTTGTGAGTTTGATCTCCAGTTGGGGCATGTATGAGAGGCAACCAATCAACATACATTTCTCTCTCACATCAATGTTTCTCTCGCTTTCTCTTTCTCCCTCTCTCTCTAAGAATCAATTAAATAAAATGATAATAATAATTACTATTAGAAAAAAATAATAAATATAATAATAACTAATATTTCTTCAGTGCTTACTATGTGCTAGGCGCTATCTTTAATACCTTATGTATAAACTTACTTAATCCCTACAATAACTTCAGAGGTAGGTAACTTTTATTATTCCCAATTTACGTATGAGGAAACAGAGACATAGAACCATCTGGCCAAGGTTACACGATAGTTCTGGCTTGAGTTCACACTCTCAGCCAATATGCAACACCACCTTAACTTCTACATGAGTAATTTGAATGGTATGTTAAAACAAAACTGATCTCTGACCCAATAAACAATATTAACTTCTATTCAAAACAATAGCTCTCTTCTTGAAAAAGGTTATGTAACAGAATATTAGACATAAAATATCAAAGTTGAATACTGTAATGAGTGAAAAATGGCTACTATCTTTAAAGGGCTATTTTTTTTTATTAATTAAGTACTATATAAAGTTCCTTTTCTCCTCTTGGCTCATTATTACTAAAAAAACAAAAAAAGTCCCTTCACACAGCTAAAAACGGAATGAGAATTGGTAAGTAGACTGTGAACATATGATTAATATTTTAAAATTCCTGGCAACTTTATATAATAAAAATCACCTTAATATATTTATATAAAATATAAAACTTTATTTAATGAAAAGATTATACCCTATCTGGTGTGGTTAGTGGTTAGTGCGAGGCCCTGCACACTGAAGGGTCGCAGGTTCGATTCCTGGTCAAGGGCACGTGCCTGGATTGTGGGTTCGCTCTCCACTCCCTGTCAGGGTGCATGCAACCAGTTGACGTGTCTCAAATCAACATATTTTTTCCGCCCTCCCTCATTTCCACTATCTCTGAGCAGCACTGGAAAAAATATCCTCAGGTGAAGGTAAAAAAAAGTTTATATAATGAAAACTAGCAATTCTATATAATAAAAGGGTAATATGCAAACTGACCCTAACAGAATGACTGGGCACTATGACACACACTGAACACGAGGGGGCAGATGCTCAATGCAGGAGCTGCCCCCTGGTGGTCAGTGCGCTCCCACAGGGGGAGCTCTGCTCAGCCACAAGCCAGGCTGATGGCTGCCAGCACAGTGGTGGTGGCGGGAGTCTCTCCTGCCTCCTCAGCAGCGCTAAGGATGTCCGACTGCAGCTTAGGCCTGCTCCCCGCTGGCAAGTGGACATCCCCTGAGAGCTCCCGGGCTGCCAGAGGGATGTCTATGACTGCCAGCTTAGGCCGATCCCCTCAGAAGCGGGCCTAAGCCAGCAGGTGGACACTCCCAGAGGGGTCCCAGACTGCAAGAAGGCACAGGCTGGGCAGAGGGACCCCCCTGAGAGCACAAATTTTTGTGCACCGGGCTGCTTGTTTTACATAATAGCAAATAAATTTCTGTTTACATATACCTTTATAGTTCTTAGTAAAAATGAAAACAAGTCTGATATGAAATAAGCAATGATTTTTCTTTTAAATAGATCAGCTATGTTTCTTTATAACAATTATAGTATTTTATATAATAGTAACTGTTCTACATTAAGTAAATATAACAATTACATTAAAAAAGTTTAAAACATTTCTCTAGAAAAGATGCCATTAAGAAATTTACCACCTTAGCTGGTTGCTCAGTGGTTAGAGCACTGGGTCTCGGATTCAATTCCAGTCAAAGGCTCAAACCCTGACCCTGTCAAGGCTTGTGTGGTATGCAAGCAATCGATGTCTCTCTCTCTCTCTCTCTCTCTCACATCAATGTTTCTCTCTCTATGTCTCCCTCTTCCTTCCACTCTTTCTAAAAATATCCTCGGGTGAAGATTAACCCTCAAAAAAAGTTTACCAAATAAGCAGAAAAGTAAATAAATCCTTACGTATGTTGCTGATGTAATTTTGCAATTTCTTTTTCAAACTCTTGAGGTTGATTAGGAATGAAAGAATAATCTGAGAGGTAGCCTGGCAAGTTTTCTGACTGGTTGTAGTCTCCAAGTTCAGCTAATAAATGAAAGAAAAATATTCACTTTAATAAACACATTTTTAAATGTTTATAGCCAAATCAGCAAAGTTATGAATTACATTATATTTCTGGAAGTAAAATATTTATATTTCTACTGTTACCATTTAAACAAGTTATAACAATGCATATAACATTCTTCTAGATTTAAAACACCTTGAGACTATTTTTCTGAAATTGAAGTAATTGCTAACTAACTGGAAGTGTCATTACATTTCCTCTGCAGTCACTTTCTTCTGTACAGCAACTTATGTCTAAAGAACTTATACACTAAATGCAATGTACTATTCATATAGACCATCTTAATATATAAAAATCCAGGGCCCGTAACATCCAAAACGATCAAAGGTTCGACCAACCGGAAGTCAGTGCTGGGTTGCCATGGGGACCCAGCACTGACTGCTGCAGCTACGGGCATCCCAACCCAACATTGACTGCTGAGGGGGCTGTGGATCAGTCCCGAAGAGAGAACTGGAGAGAACAGCAGGGATTGATCCATAGCCCCCATGGCAGTTGTTGATCAGCATTTGCCTCTCTTTCACTCCAGGCTTGGCCAGCATCCATGCCTGTCTTTCTCTTGGGCCTCTGCAGATCAGCCCTGCCTCTCTGATCAGGTCTGTTGATAGGCCTGGAGATGCTAATTGGCACAGAAACTGACCAATGAGAAAAAAATCTGGGTAAAGTGGGAGGAGCCAATGGCTGCCTAGGAGGTGGAGCTTTTGATGCTGACTGGCATAGAAACTGATCAATTAGAACCTAATCTGGGTGAACTCCGAAGAACCTAAGGTGGGGGCTAAGGAGGGGTTTTAAGGGCAACAGCTGTTTGGTGTAAGGTAAGAAAGCAGTTCAATTTTTTTTTTTAATATATTTTATTGATTTTTTACAGAGAGGAAGGGAGAGAGATAGAGAGTTAGAAACATCGATGAGAGAGAGACATCGATTAGCTGCCTCCTGCACATCTCCTACTGGGGATGTGCCCGCAACTCAGGTACATGCCCTTGACTGGAATCGAACCTGGGACCTTTCAGTCCGCAGGCCGACGCTCTATCCACTGAGCCAAACCAGTTGCAGCCAGTTCAATTTTTTAATGATCAGTTTAGCAATATAATGTATATGGCTCACTATCAGTCCAGATATAAGGATTATGTATTTTTGTCTGCCAAGAGCATCTCCTCCTAATGAAAAAGGTGCCCCCCCCCCAATTTAAGCAATCCTATACTATATAATCTATCTATACCACTAAAAGGGTAATATTGTAATTAGACCAGATCAACCGAACATCTTCCAGATGTCCAACTTCCTTCCGGACAAAGCCATGGTGGTGGTGGCTGAGGCAGAGGCTGTTAAGGGTGATCAGGCCAGCAGGGTATGACAGTTGGGAGGGAGAGCAGGCCCAGGGTAGGGGGCTGTTGTGGATGATCAGGCAGGCATCTGGGACCTTTCAGTCCGCAGGCCGATGCTCTATCCACTGAGCCAAACCAGTTGCAGCCAGTTCAATTTTTTAATGATCAGTTTAGCAATATAATGTATATGGCTCACTATCAGTCCAGATATAAGGATTATGTATTTTTGTCTGCCAAGAGCATCTCCTCCTAATGAAAAAGGTGCCCCCCCCCCAATTTAAGCAATCCTATACTATATAATCTATCTATACCACTAAAAGGGTAATATTGTAATTAGACCAGATCAACCGAACATCTTCCAGATGTCCAACTTCCTTCCGGACAAAGCCATGGTGGTGGTGGCTGAGGCAGAGGCTGTTAAGGGTGATCAGGCCAGCAGGGTATGACAGTTGGGAGCGAGATCAGGCCAGCAGGGTAGGGCTGTTGTGGATGATCAGGCAGGCATAGGCAGTTAGGGGCGATCAGGCAGGCAGGCAGAGGCAGTTAGGGGTGGTCAGGCAGGTGAGCAGTTAGGATCCAGCAGTCCCAGATTGTGAGAGGGATGTCCGACTGCCAGTTTAGACCCCACAGGGATCAGGCCTACATCGGGGGTCAGACATCCCCCAAGAGATACCCGATAGAAGAGGATGCAGGCTAGGCTGAGGAAACCCCCCTCCCGTGCATGAATTTTGTGCATTGGGCCACTAGTCTATATATATAAAAACCCAGCGACCATTACAGTGGCATGACCAGGACAACCAGAACATCCGGTGGCTATGATACGCACTGTGGCAGCCAACCAGCCTGATCTGGGCCAGATCGCCCCCAATATCCTGATCAGGGCAGGGCCAGCCGGCCAACAGCCTTGGCTGGCAGAAATATGGAGTCCAGGAACCCTGGAGGTGCTCGGTCTCAGGCAGCTGTGGGGGCAAAGTTCTCCTTTGGTGGAAGTGGACCTGGGATTAGGGTGCCGGAATCAGAGATGGGGTGGGGAGGCTTTCCTGGGGGCCACAGAAGTCCCCGCAGGCCCAGCACAGCACTCAGGTGTCTGGCCCCAGTCTGAGCAGCGGCAGGAATAGGGGCCACGGGGCGCAGGGGGCGGCGGCACGTGGGAACCAGGAGGCGCAAGGCCCAATGTGGGCTCTTACCCTGCCTGCTGGGCCGAGCAGCACCAGCAGGTGGGCAGTCCCAGATTGTAGCAAGGTGCTTGGCTGCCGAGTGGAGGGGAAGAGAGCCAGGAGGGGAAGAGAGCCAGGAGGGCAATGCTCAGTGCCAGCCAGAGCCCCGAGCGGTGTGGGCGGGGCCCAAGCTGGAAACCCCGGCAGAGTGGGGAGGGGGGGATGTGGGAGGGGCCTGCAGCCCCATGCCTTTTCAGCCTTGGCCTTGGAATTCTGTGGGGAATCACTGTACTGGCGACCAGCGCATCAGATGTCAGCCCTGCTTCAAGAGAGGACATAGCGGAAAGTGGCAAGGCCACAGGAGAAATGGGAAACGTTGTTGCCATTTTCAGGAAACACAGCTGCCACGGTCTTCAGTAAATATGAACAGATAATCTTTGGTCTCCATTCTACAGAAGAAGCTGAGTCTCAAAGAAGGGAGCCTTCTGCAACACCTCACCCACTGCTCATACATGACCCTGTGCAGCATTGTTTTCGTTGGAAGTAGAGGATCCAAAATGTTTTTAGATCTTTGCTATTTTAGGCAGAAAAGAATTTAGCACAGGGGACTGGTGCTTGGGAAAGCATCAGGAAGCTGGAGGAGAGGGTGCTAGGCTGGGCCCCCAGGAAAGACTCCCTGCCCAGAGGGAGGAGCTGCCCTCTCAGACACAACTGAATACGAGGACACTCTGCACAGCTGTGACCCGAGTATCAGGAAACTGCTGCCCCCGCAAGTGCCCCCCAGCTCCCACAAAACAGGTCACCGGACACTGCCTCTGCCACAGCTACCCGTGCACAGCCTGGATTCCGCTGCAGAAAACCTCCACATCTCTGCAAACATGATCACCAGCAGCAAACAGCCAAACTTCAGGAAGATGCCTCTGCCCCACTTCTGCCTTCAAAATATTGTGCAAGTGCATCCAATCGGCAGAAACGAATTCATATCCAGAAACCTAGTTGCACAGGAGTTTGGGCAATTTCAGACTTTCGTCTAGGAGTGAGAGCTTGCCAATGTACCTCATGTGGTTGATAAAAATGGGGTCTGGCTGATGGGGCTCAGTGGTTGAGCATCGACCCATGAATCAGGAGGTCACGATCTGATTCCTAGTCAGGTTTCGGGCTAGATCCCCAGTAGGGGGCATGCAGGAGGCAGCTGATCAATGATTCTCACCACTGATGTTTCTATCTCTCTCTCCTCTCTCTTCCTATGAAATCAATAAATATTTTTTTGAAAAATGGGGTCATGCTATATAAATGTGTTACAACGAGTTTTTCACTTCATAGATCCCTAATGTCCTTCCTGTTAAAACCATACTTACAGAACATTATTTATTTATCATTCATTTTAATAGATCTTAGAGAGAAGAAGGGAGAGAGAGAGAGAAACATTGTTCCGTTGTTTCCTGCACTCACTGGACTGAGTATTGAATCTGCAACCTGGGCATGTGCCCTGACTGGCAATTGATCCACCACTTTCTGGTGTATGGGACGATGCTATGCTGGTACCCTGACCCCAAATTCTAGCTTCCAGAACTGTGAGAGAAATACATTTTTGTTGTTTAAGCCACGCAAATTTATGATATTTTGTTATGGCTGTCTAAGCTAAACCTATAAAATAAAAGTCCAGCGACCAAATAGCAGATGACCAGAATGACTGGAACAATCGAGGCCCCTTGCCCTAGCTGGCTCCACCCCGATCGGCCCCCATTGGGGTGGGCCGATTGGACCCCACCAGTGCAAGAATTCATGCACCAGGCCTCTAATGTAATTATATTTTATTTGCCAGCCCGGGCCAGTGTGGCTAAGTTGGTTGGAACTTTGTACAGAGCACCTGAAGGTCATGGGTTTGATTCCCAGTATGGGCACATGCATGGATTATGAGTTCCATCCCTGATTGGGGTGAGTATGGGAGGCAACTGATTAATGTATCTCTCTCTCTCCCCCTTCCTCCATCTCGAAAAATCAATAGAAAATAAAATCCTGGGCTGATACTTACACTGAACAGCAAATGAAGCCAAAAGGGCAGCAGTATTGTAAGGACAGGGCAATCTAATAAAACAAAACAGAAAATACATAGCCCAAAGTTACACACAATGATTTCAAAAGCATGATAATTTATAATATACTAGTTACACTTGAAATTTCTATGTTGACTTATATTTTAACTATTAAGTAATGAACTTATTCGATGAAAGGAATTAATGTTATATGTAACTTTTTTCAATAGATAGTTTGCAAAGGTCTTGAATTTCTTAATATAGAACTAAGAGTATTCTTAAACTTATTACTAAAAATGTATAATAGCCCACCTTCCAGTAAGAATGTCTTGTTTAATTTGCAAAAAATACTGGTACCTTAAAAAAAAGAAGATAGTTAGCATTTACTGGAATTATAGCATTTAGATATTAAAAACTATATACTTATTTAACAAATAAAAATTTAAATATTTAAGTATTTACTTCAATAATGTACATATTAACACAAGATATTTTAAAAATAAGCTTTCATAAATTCATGAATCCAAGTTTTAAAATTGTTTGATAAATGAAATTTTATACTTCAACTGTATTGTTTCCACTAGATCCATTATAAAACTCCTAACGCTTGTTAAGAGTTACATGACCTAGGGAGAAGATCGGAGAGAAATACTCTAAGGATTGGTGTATGCAGAAAGTATGCTGGGAAGCACAACAGACATAGGAAAGCTGACAGTAACAATGCACTAGAGACCAGTAGAAGAAAATCATTCTTTCTGCTGAGATGGGAAGCCAACTTCAAGAACAGGCCTGTGTGCTAATTATCTTCTGGCAGCAAGAAGCTATTGACTGCAGAAAAGCACCTTTCCCTCTTCATATGAGTTAAGAAACCTCTCTTTGATTAAATCAAAACAAAAAACCCACATAAGTTCCTTTACCTACAACTGATCTAATATTAGAATTGCCAAGTACCCAATTTCCTTAAAAAAAAAAAAGTAAGTATCCTATAACAAGAATACTAGAGTTGCTTACAAGACGGCACTGTCCTGTCCCTGCTAGTGGGTGAAGTCATTCCCGCACAGATGTATCAATGCTTGGGCAAAACCACCTGTGCTGTATAATATTGGTAGAAGACCAAATTTTGTGGCTTTAAATGTTTAAATAAGGAATTTACAGACTTCACCCCACTAAAAAGAGGATACATACTCCAAGAGTTAAAAATCATTAAAAATTTTGTTTGATTAAAGTCATTAAAGAGTTCAACGACCATTCAAATTACCAAAGAATGTAATTAAGGTTTTAGAAAATTAGGTATTGATTGTAATTTTTTTTTAAAAGAGCTGATACAAATATCTTGGCTTCATCCTATATAATAAAAGCCTAGGTGCAATGTCATCATAAGATGGCCGCCACAAGATGGCCAGCAGGGGAGGGCAGTTGGGGACAATCGGGCAGGCAGGGGAGGGAAGTTGGGGCTGATTAGGCCAGCAGGGGAGCAGTTAGGCATCAATCAGGACAGGCAGGTGAGTGGTTAGGAGCTAGCAGTCCCAGATTGTGAGAGGAATGTCCACTGTTGGTTTAGGCCCACAGGGATCGGGCTTAAATCAACAGGTGGACATCCTCTAAAGGGTCCCAGATTGGAGAGGGTTAAGGCCAGGCTGAGGGACCACCCTCCATGCACAAATTTCATGCACCGGGCCTCTAGAATATTAATAAATTCTCTGAGGCTTAATACATAATATTACAAATATTATTGCTTACTCAATCTAAGACAACATATTTCTATCCAGCCATCTTAGTTTCATAATTAAAAGTTAAAGGTCCCTGGTCTGGCTGGTTGCTCAGTGGTTAGAATGTCAACCCTTGGTTCAATTCTTGCTCAAGGGCAATACCTCAGTTGCAGGTTTGATCACCTAATTGGGGCAAGAGTGGGAGGTAACCAATCGATGCTTTCCTCCCTCTCCTTTTTTTCCCCTTCCTCTCATCACCCCCTTCCACATTTTCTAAAAATTCAATGGGAAACATCCTTAGATGATAAAAAATAAAAAAAAGTTAAAGGTTCCTGGTGGAAACAATCTTATAGTTAGGATTAAAAGGTCATGTATATCCTTGACATAATATTCTGAATACTACACAAATAATACCTATGTGCTTGCATACTAATCATTAAAGACTGACAGAATGGAAACCAGAATAAGCTAAATCAAAACTATAAGTCCTAAAGTAAGCCAGCCTATAATCTTTGGCAAGTTACTTAAAATTTGGCTGAGTCTTGTTTCTCTATTTGTAAAAAGAAAGTAGAACCACAGCCTAGTATAGGTATCTTAGGGGCCCTAATCAGAAAATACAAGCCTAATTTTGAAAGACAATTAAGACCTTTAAAACAGATTAATAATGACTGAGGTAAGTTTAGATAATCACCTTTACAAGCTGTAAAAATAAGGAAACTTTTCTAATCCAGACAATAATGAATACTTATCATGCTCTAAAAAGATATGCAAAGTGATGTCATTTGTATTCTCTCGACTCCTGAGTAAACTCCAATTCCAATGATGCTAGCAAAAGTAAATTATGTTTCATTTGGAAGCTCTGTAAGTCCATTCTTTTTATTTTTTTACCACTAACCTAAAATGGAATCCCAAGGTAAGGAGGTATAGATGATTTCCTGTTTTGTGGAGCTTATACTAGTCCAGTGATGGTGAACCTATGACACGCGTGTCAGAGGTGACACGCGAGCTCATTTTTTTGGTTGATTTTTCTTTGTTAAATGGCATTTAAATATATAAAATAAGTATCAAAAATATAAGTCTTTGTTTTATTATGGCTGCAAATATCAAAAAATTTCTATATGTGACACGGCATCAGAGTTAAGTTAGGGTTTTTCAAAATGCTGACACGCCAAGCTCAAAAGTTTCGCCATCACTGTACTAGTCCTTACAATTAGCAACTGTGGCCACAAGGGTGTCTTATTACTAATCCGAACCATCACATTAAAGCTACTTAAGCACTAAAGTTTTAAAGGAGTATTTCTTAAACCTAGTGGAATATTTGAGTCACCTGGGAAGCTTGTAATGCTTATGCACAGGTTCCAGCTGAGACCTATTAAATCAGAGTACCCAGGGGGTGTGGCCAAAGCAAGAGCTACCCTAAGTGATTCTAATTTGTAATCAGTGTAGAGATTCACTGATGCACAATGTACTATGGTAATAAAGTACAAACTAGCCACTTACCCTAATTACCAAATAGTGCCAGTTATAACATTACAAATCCATTATAAAGGATTTTTGAAATAATGTATTATTTCTAGTGAAAACAAAGATAATTTTCTAGACTGATGGACTGAGTAAATACTTTCTCGATTACTATAAAATTTGATTTTACTTTCTTCTACTTCAGGAATATGCTTTGATTTAATTATCAGTGAGACACATTTATTCCTTGATTATATCTTCAAAAAAGCTATACAAAAATCAACACATTCAAGTTTTGTTAAGAAAGTCAAAGACAGTTTTTTGAGTAAATTATGAATATAGCTATAATTGACAATATTTTAATTGCTTATGCTAACAAACTCAATAAACATTAAATATATTAGATATCCAATTTAAATTTATTGCTCTTTCAATTACAAATATGTATTACACATTTAAAAATCTGATTACTAAAACATAAAGGATGTTCTGAAAAAATGCATACATATTTTGAATAATTATTAATTTCAAAGGGTTAAATCTGAAGAGAAAGTGTGGGAACCCTAACCATAGTACACCGGATGTTCAAGGCCAATTTGCCATACACTTGTGCAAAGGCAATGACACAGCAGTTTTACTGCACACACTGCGCAGGCATACTTTTCTATAACCCAAATACTGATGTCACTATTTGGCAAGAAGCCTCTTTTGTCTGAGTTCGTATAAAGATATGTTACTGACCAGCTGGTGCACGGCTGCTTTGGCTACTTTGAAGAACTGTTTTGTCTGATGGCTCCTTGTTGCTTTTCAAGATAAATTAGCTTGGATACAATTAGTTTGAACTACCTAATCCAGAGCCTATATTCTTGAATTCTCCTGTTATAAAAAAAGGTAACCTACTGTCCCCACTCCCCCAACAACAAACACATAGAAAAAGACTCTAAAGGATGTGAATCTAATTTTTCTTACTTTATCTACTGAAAACTCTGCTTCAGAAACATCTGAGGATTGGCAGGGAAATGTCTTTAATTTATTCTTTTGTTGTTCTACTTCACCTTAGTATTCTAAAGGATAACCAATACATTAATATCTACATTAATATAACTTTAGGTACAGATTTTAAATTTGGCACCTAACTTTTAGAATAATTGTGAATATAGTCACTGACCTATATTCTTATATCTTTTATGGAAGGTATAATATGTTAATATTTATTCTGTCTTATTTTGCTAACCCTATCTAATGAAGGGTAATATGGAAATTAACCATCACTCCATCACAAAGATGGCGGCACCCATAGCCACAAGATGACAGCACATAGTCTTCAGCCCCGCTGGAGTCCCCCAGTCCTGGGGGGGCGGCCACGGAGAGTGGGCAGCATGAGCGGCCTGGTGGAATGCTTGCATCATCGCCCTGGCGACAAGGCAAGTATTCTGCGCCCAGCTGCAGATGGGCCTCTGGGCAGCGGGCCCGGAGCGGCCAGGCCCCACAGAAAGCTACTGGTGCACGAATTCATGCACAGGGTACTAGTGAATTACTAATTATCTTTCAAGCAACACACATGGTTATCCTTCAGGTTACTTAAAGATTTTTTAAATTGATTTTTTAGAGAGAGAAGAAGGGAAAGAAAGGGAGAAACATCAATGTGAGAGTGGAACATTGACTGGCTGCCTCCTACACACCCCCTTACCAAGGATCAAGTCTGCAACCCAAGCATGTGGGCTGACCGGAAATGGAACTGGTGACCTTTCAATGCACAGGACCATACCCAACCAACCGAGCCACACTGGCCAGGGTTCTTAAGGTTATTTTAATAATGACAGTTACCACACTGTGATTATTCCTCACTATTTATACCTTAAACAGTTATCTAACATTAATATACTATCAAAATACTCATCTGGGCCATTCTTGTATTTTCAATCTGCAGTTGGGAATCAGCTAATATGGAGGACAACTTAAGTTATTCACAGATTTTGACTACAAAGGTGGTTGATGTGCCTAACCATGTTTTTCAAGGGTTAAATATTTTTATAGGGGGAAAAGCAGGCACAATTCTCACTATATAGCACCGCTTAAAATGAAGCAGTATCTGATTACTTCAATTAGTTACAGCAAAGCAACTTAACCAGTTTTCACTGGAAAATCTCAATATTTACGTAGCTATGGAGGCTTCTTGTGGCTGGATGGGGTGGCCCTGGGGTTCCAATCTCCTAAAGCAGTGGTCAGCAAACTGCGGCTCGCAAGCCACGTGCGGCTCTTTGGCCCCTTGAGTGTGGCTCTTCCACAAAATACCACGTGCGGGCGCGCACACGTACAGTGCGATTGAAACTTTGTGGCCCATGCGCAGAAGCTGCATGCGCAGAAGTCGGTATTTTGTGGAAGAGCCACACTCAAGGGGCCAAAGAGCCGCATGTGGCTTGCGAACTGCAGTTTGCCGACCACTGTCCTAAAGCATTACCTGTCATCCAGGAGGGAAGTAAACTGTTTTCTTGAAATATCTATGGCCTATTCTGTGTGCTGCTAGTAAACTCAGAATTATGGCATGGCAATCTATTTTTGCCTAATTAATTTCATAATTTTATAATAGTTTTGAAAACATTTTTAAGAAAAATATGCTCCATAAACTCACCTTGTATATTCTTCTTGTAACTTGTTGGGGTCACTTACAAAAAATTTGACTCTGAAGTTCAAACTGTAGGGAGATCCTCCTAGAATTAATAAAAGCAGTTCTAATTAATCAGATTATATTAATCCTGCATCTTTATAAAGTACACTTACAAAACATGAAGTAAATATATATGCTCACTCTTTAACTGCTTCCTTATTGGTTTATTTGGATCCAGCCATCTCTGAAAAATAAATAAGATTGATTTCATTTTTCCTTGAGGAACTAATACACCGATTCATGCAAATCTGTTCTATTTAAAGATTAATGCTAAAAACTGAATTTTTGAAAAGACCTGGTAGGGAAAAAGTCATTAATTTGCAGATTTTCATATCATATAAAACAAAATTACGCTAGAAAGTACTGAATATATATATGTGGTAGCTTTAAGATTTTTATTTTTATTTTACATCAAATGATACAGTGTGCAATAACCTCTATTCCAAAAGTAAAAATGTTTAATAATCACTGCAATCTAATGTGAATTCTGTTAATTTAACTGTATTATGTAACAGTCTGGAACATTTAAAAAATTAAGAAAAATTTTGTAACTTCTACTCCATTCCTTAAAAAATAAATTACACCTCTTTCCCCATCCCCACCCCCCCCCAAAAAAAAACCACACTAATTTTGAAAAGGATAATGTTTAGTTTTGGGAAGGATTGCCTTTTGTGTATGAGAATTTTAAGTAGTCTCAATACTTCTGAATGCCAGTTAAGATCTATTTTAGAAAAATGAACTGAACTCAGAAAATACAGTGGGGCCTTGACTTACAAGTGTCCCGACTAACGAGTTTTTTGAGATACCAGCTGTTTCTTGGCCGATTTTTTGCATTGAGTTGATAGAGTAATTTGAGTTAACGAGCTCCTTAACGGGCTCGGTCTCTGAATGAATTAAACTCGTAAGTCAAGGCCCCAGTGTATCTGAACTGCCAACAAGTTTCAATTAAGAAAAATTAAAGAACCCAAAATGAGGTTATGGATGTGGCAGTATTTTCAAAGCACTACACAAATATAAGCTTATGTATCATTATTTATAATCCTTACTTCCCATACTTGATTCCATGAAGAGTACTTAAATAGATTTTAGTAACATTTGCCTGGGATAATCAAATCAAATCTAGCTGATTCTGCCTTTGTTTTTGTTTTTAATATTTTTTATTGATTTCAGAGAGGAAGGGAGAGGGAGAGAAGGATAGAAAAATCAATGATGAGAGAGAACCATTGATCAGCTGCCCGAAATCCAGGCAGGTAACTGACAGGAAATCGAACCCTGACCTCCTGGTTCATAGGTCAGTGTTCAACCACTGAGCCATGCTGGGCTGACTCTACCTTTAAACCATACCTAGAATTTAAGAATTTTTCTCCATCTAGTCTGCCACCATCCTTATTTCTGGTGTGGCTCTGGCCACAGCCTCTTAATTACTGTCCCTGTTTCTTTTCTTACCATCTTCTTCATCCTCCATCTAGAAGCCAAAGTAGTCTTCTCAAGCATAATGTTACTCCTTTGCTTAATACTCTTGATAATTTCTCAATGCAAGGTCCAAAGCCCTTAGCATTGTCTCTTTACCTCTTCTACCCCAATTTACTAAGCTCCAGCCATAATGCCTCCTTTCTGTTACTCAAAGATGCCATCTTACAGCTTCCAATTCCATGTTTCCTTAATGTACAGAATGTCCTTCTCCAGATTCCCCATGGCTGACTCCTTTCACCTGTGTCTGTGCTTAAATGCTACCTCCTCAGAAAGGTCTTCACTGACCACCCTACCAAAAGTATGTCATAAAGCTCCTATTTACTTATTTTCCAAAAACAGGCAAGGAACATTAAATTCTCTCATAACACTTTTTAAAAAAATCCTCACAGAGAATACATTTTTAATAATTTTTAGAGAGAAGGGAGAGAGAGAGAGAAACATCAATGTGAGAGAGAAACATTGATCATTTGTCTCCCCCATGAGCCATGATCAGAGGTGCACACGCCACCTGGGCATATGCCTGTTACCTTTTGGTGTACGGGACAATGCTCCAACCAACCAAGCCACACTGGCCAGCGCACACATCTATGTATTAATCTATTGATTTTGTTTTTCACATTTTAGAGAAAAAAGTAATAAATTACTTTCATTTTAATACTTGTCTAAAGTCAAAATTTGGGATCAATGATTGTATTCAAACCCTTCCTTCCTCATTTCGTTCCCCTCAAAAATATTCTAATATCAGATATATAAACACATTTACAAATAGACATGTTAAGCTGACACAGCTTAGAAGGAGTACAATGATAAGCACCAGAAAACTGAAGAGACCTCATCAATGATGTCATTGAGATAGGACTTAGGATTTTGGCTTAAAACAAGATAGAGCAATGCTATAATGGGCTCTATTACACAGTGAAGATAGTGCTCATAGTAAAAACACACCATTATGTCGAAAGAAAAACAACGTAGGGAAAAAAGATAACATATAAAACTGTTCTGCCCTGGCTGGTTTGGCTCACTGGATAGAGCATCGGCCTGGGGACTGAAGGGTCCCAGGTTCGATTCTGGTCAAGGGCATGTACCTTGGTTGCGGGCACATCCCCAGTAGGGGGTGTGCAGGAGGCGGGTTCGATCCCGGTCAAGGGCATGTACCTTGGTTGCGGGCACATCCCCAGGCAGCTGATCGATGTTTGCAGCTGGTCGATGTTTCTAACTCTCTATCTCGCTCCCTTCCTCTCTGTAAAAAACCAATAAAATTATAAAAAAAAAAAAACTGTTCTACAAATCAATAAGAAAAAAAACCCAACACTAATAAAAAAACAGACAATAGGTAAGAATGGAAAGATTACGGGAAAGGAAATATAAATGACTTTTCAGTACATGAAAAGATACTCAATCTTGATTATAACTAGAGAAATATAATAGTCTACATTAGGTTATCGTTTTTCAATAGTAATACTGACAAAGATTAAAACTTTTAATGACAAACCACAATGGCAAGAATGTGAGGAAAACAGCACTCATACATAGCTTCTGAGAATATAAATTATACCAACTCAATATAGGACAACTTGGCAATATTTATCAAACTATAAAACGCATATCACTATAGACCAAGTGTTGTTTTATACAGCATCTTGATATATTTCACACAATATAAAATTCACTATTTGAAAGTGTACACTTCAGTGCATTTTATTATGTTGTACAACCATCAAAATTAAATGTCAGAATATTTGCATCATCCCCAAAATAAATCCCATTTCTATTAGCAGTCAGTCCCAATACTGCACTGCCAAAAGGTTCTAGCAAGTACTAATCTACTTACTGTCTCTATAAATTTGCGTGCTTGGGAGATTCATATGAATACAAACATACCATAGGTGATCTTTTTTTTTTTCACTTTTACAGTAGGGAACCCCCTTAATCCACGGGGGATAGGTTCCAAGATCACACCGGATGCGTGAATCTATAGATAATACTGAGCCTCCTATATGTACTATGTTCTTTCCTATATATATATATATCCTATATAATAAAACCCAAATATGCAAACTGACCGAACAGCGACCAGTCGCTATGACTTGCACTGACCACCAGGGAGCAGACTCTCGACGCAGAAGCTGCCCCCTGGTGGTCAGTGCGCTCCCAAAGAGGGAGCACTGCACAGCCAGAATCCGGGCTCATGGCTGGCAAGAGCAGCAGTGATGGTGGGAGCCTCTTCCGCCTCCGCAGCAGGTGGACATCTCCAGAGGGGTCCAGAACTGCAAGAGGGTGCAGGCCGGGCTTAGGGACCTACCAACCCCAGGTGCACGAATTTCATGCACCAGGCCTCTAGTTTATAATAAAGTCTATTTATTTTTTTGTTAATCCTCACCAAAGGATTTTATCCCATTGATTTTTAGAGAAAGTGAAAGGGAGGGATGGAGGTAGGGGGAGAGAGACATTAATGTGGCAGACACACATCAATCGGTTGCCTCCCACGTGCAACCCGATCAGGGCCGGGGATTGAACCTGCAACCCAGGTACATGCCCTTGACCAGGAATATAAAACAAGAGTCTTTGGTGCACTGATGACACTATCCACTAAGACATGCGGGCCAGGGCAATGATAAAATTTAATTGGTAAATTATGCAGAATAAGAAAGTAATATTAATTAATAATAAAATAAAACAAAACAATATTCTGTAATGAAAGTTATGTGAATGTACTCTCTCAAAAAATCTAATTGTATAGTACTCACCCTTTTTCTGGTGATCATGTGCGATAATTCAATGCCTACATGTTGAGATAAAGTGAAGTGAATGATATAGGCATTGTGATGTAGCATTAGGCTACTTCTGACCTTCTGATGATGTATGAAGAGGATTCCCCTACTTCAGGTGATCCTGAATAATCAAGCCATGAGGAACTACTAAGGACTAACAGACGGGTAATGTATACAGCATGGATATGCTGTACAAAAGCATGACTCATGTCCTGGGTGCGATGGTATGAGATTTCATCATGCAACTGAGAATGGCGAACAACTTAAAACTTACAAATTGTTTATTTCTGCAATTTTCCATTTAGTATTTTAAAACCACAGGGAACTGAAATCATTAAAAGCAAAACCACGAATAAGGAGGCACTACTATATGTTTTTAAAGTTCATCAATGTTGTAGCATGTTACAGTACTTTTATAGCAGCACTGGGTTGTTTCTATCTTTTGGTTATCATAATAATACTGCTATGGCCCTAACCAGTTTGGCTCAGTGGATAGAGTGTCAGCCTGCGGACCGAAAGGTCCCAGGTTCAATTCCAGTCAAGGGCATGTACCTTGGTTATGAGCACATCCCCATTAGGGGGTGTGCAGGAGGCAGCTGATCGATGTTTCTCTCTCACTGCTGTTTCCAACTCTCTATCCCTCTCCCTTTCTCTCAGTAAAAATAAATAAATAAAATATATTAAAAATAACAATAATTATACTGCTCTGAACATTTGTATACAAGTTTTTCTATAAATACATGTTTCAATTCTCTCAGGAAAATGCCTAGGAATAGCATTGTTTGATAAATGGTAACACTACATTTAAATTTTGAATTAAGTTAATTTCCAGAATGGCTACAGCTTTTAAAACTCCCACCATCCACGTATGAGGATTTCAATTTCTTTGCATCCTCATCAATACTTGTTCTTGTCTTTTTAATTACAGCCCTCCTACTAG